TTGTAGCTCAATATTTAATTATAAGCTTTAAAGAGTATACTTTAATGTTTAAAATGATTAATGCCTTGCAGGTGATTAGAAACAGTCAAACATGCAGTAGACGTCTTTATACACTGTAATATGTATATTTATGTACATGCAAATATCTGTTGAGAAATAATGGGGAATGTTAAATGATTTGTACCTTGCATGTTACCAGATGCAGTCAAACATACACAGGTTGTAACTCATATACAATACGAAACAACATTATGTACCGATGCCAACTTATGTATTATGTAGTTATGCCTACTTATCTATATGTAATATCTGCAAAGAAAGAATGGTCAATGTAACTAAGGCCCATGTCAAACCTGTCAATAGCATCTATTTATGTATGCCTTGTATATGCGAACATCTATTTATTCCCAATTATAATATCATGTAAACATGTACTGGGAAATAAAAACGTCAAAATAAAAAAGAAATATTACTATACGCACAAAAATATATTAAGGAATTCTATTTTGTCCATCCATCAATTGATTTTCTTCTCTATTGAATTGTTCAAATGAAATTGTAATTCATAATGTTGCGGCTTTTATTTATCAAACCATGATGATAAGGAAATTGTATATATGAGATGTACTATAGGCATGCGGTCTCCTTAGCACTCAAATAAAGATTGATTGACTCAAATAAACAGAAAACAACAATGAAGGCTGCTGTTGTGTTGGTGAACTCTATAGACGTGTGCATTTTTACAACCGTCAATGATTGAATGTGTATGCCTATAGGTACATGATATCTCGAGAGATCTTTGTTTGTTTGTATGTTTTAAGCCACGCTCAGCAATATTCCAGCTATATGGCGGGGGATCTGTAAGTATTCGAGTCTGGGCCAGGCAATCCAGTGATCTAAAACATTAGCATCGATCTACGCAATTGCGAACAAAAAGAACCTTCTGTCCTATACGCTTGAGAGCATGTGACTTTAGACTATAACTTCAACGACCGTCCGCCCGTGGTGTAGTGGTTAGATCACCGTGCGCCCGGAGAGCGGAAGGTCGCGGGTTCGATCACCGACCGCGTCATACCATAAAGAAGTTAAAATATGGTACTTGTTGGTAGCCCTGCCTCAGGCGAGTACAAACGGCATTAATTGGTACAACAAGGACTGGTCGGCTCGGAGTCAATATAATGTGTCTGAGTGGGGTATTCATGCTTCACTGCGGCATGGTATCTCGGTGGGCTAGCACTATAAAACCAGCTTCAGTCTTGGTTAGTACAAACAGCCGCACATACACATACGCATGCATATGAGCGAAATTTCACCTCACCTCACCTATAACTTCAACAGTCTCTGATTATATATTCACCAGGCGAACACCCTACGCGGTGAATATCGTTGTGAAACAGAAAATGTTTATTGTTCAGTGGTATGAAAGCTGCTTTAGAATTTTTAACACAGTAGAGCAGGTGTTACTCCGGCCTTTCTAAACAGTTGATCCAAGGCGTACCAAGACCTCAGTTATTCGGGTCGTTTAGAAAATATTGTCAGTCACTGCCAATCAAATCCAACACTGTGTATGCGGGATCCATCATGCATACAGAGAAAGCAAGAGAAAGGACAACTAGTGCATGTGCCAAGGCGAGAAGAGCAATAAACTCACTCCGAGATGTAGGATTACGAGCTGGTGGGTTAAACCCTGTGTCATCGTCCAATATCTGGCAAAGAGTTATCTTTCCTTCTGCATTCTACGCATGTGAGCTATGGAGCAATATCAGCAACACTGAGATGAATGGAACGGAAATTGTCCAGCGCTACTTTGCTAGAAGAGCCCAGAACCTCCACAAGAGATCTCCTACAGTTGCTACAGCTCAGGTGCTAGGACTATGGTCAATTCAAGGCAGAGTAGATAAATCAAAGCTCCTGTTTTGGGCCGACTCTGTCGCTCAGCTAGTACCAGTATTGTGAAGCCTATCTTGTATTTGAGATTCGCGGAATATATGTCTACTGTGGTAAAAAGCACAAGATCGATTGCCCATGACCTCTTGAATGCAGCTCACAAATATGGATTTTCAGATATCATTGACACCTTCATGACAGCAGGAGAATTTCCATGAAAAAATGTATGGAATTCCATGGTACAGAAGGCTATATGCCACCACGAACACACTGAATGGAGAAGTAAACTCCAAGAGCGTCCAAATATGCAGAGATTTGGTGCCATTCTTAAGCGCCTCTCTCCTCATCGTCTCTGGAACCTGTGTTTGTGGTATAACATGGCCACCCCTCCTGTCTAAGCTCTGATAAAGTTGGGTATACTGCCCGTCACACTTGGACTGTGTCTTATATGCGAGACTGAAAGTGAGGACATTGTAAAACATCAACTCCTATACTGTGACAAGCTGGTAGAAAACAGGAACGCACTGAGCGAGCTTCTGTTTGATAACGTGTCTCTTGACACGTATATGAGACTCGAAGATGCTGAAGACGAGGTTAAAATTAGAGGTGTCACGATACACCAATCTCACGATACGATACGTATCACGATTTTAAGGTCACGATACGATACGTATCGCGATACATACTTTTCGCGCCTTTTCATAGCATTACTTTACCGGCAACGTACGCGCTCGCTGATTGGTCCATCAAAATAGTCAAGCCAATCACAAAAGCTGTTAGTTTCCAACCTATTTTTTAAGTATAGCTAGCTACATCTATTTATCGGAGCGGTCTCGTATAATTTTACTATCAAAACTTTGAAGGAGATGGATATAGCATAAAAATTTGAATCGATGAAGTTTTAAAATAGGAATCGATACCCGCAAGCATGTATCGCGTATCGTATATTCAGTAAAAAATGTATCGATGCATCGATACATTCGCGTATCGCGACACCCCTAGTTAAAATCCTCACATACCTTGGTTCCATTACTCCGGTTGTGCAGGACATGACCTTGATAGCTGGGCTAGGTTCATGAGCATTATTGCAAAACGCAACAGTGCATGGAACTGAGCCAGCATTCTGTATTTATAAGAATAGCATGCAATGCTTTGTACATATTGCCCAGTGATCATCTGTTGCCAAGAGCTATGATTTCTTATGTTTTGTTGAATGTTTCAAATATTATTGAACTTTTCTATTTTGTCACAAATATGTATTATGCCCTAAAAATATATACATAACTGGATGTATAACTCTCCAAACCATTGGTGGAAATAAAGAACATTCATTCATATTTATATTTCTTTAAATGGTCAGTCCATTGCACATCAGTTAAAGATTATAGAGTTTTGGCTTTATCAACAAAGACCTCGCTACCTTCTAGCCACATATGTTATTGATAGGTAAGTAGCTCTAACAATGGATGTCCGTATGGCCTGGCAGTAGCCATATATATATATGTGTGTGTGTATGTCCCTCCCTCCCTATTTTTAGCGCAGCTGTCTGTCACAGGGTATGTTTACACGGCACGGGGCTTGGACTTGTCAGCAGCACGTCAACACACATCGTTACCCTTGCCGACGTGGTAAGGTGTGATGCAGTGAAAAACAACACGTGCGAGTATATACACACTGGTAGAAGAAAACGTTTGTCAATGCGTCAGTTTGTATCCTGCTAGACGAATTGCCGTGTGATCTGATCTCTCTCTCTGTCTCTCTCTCTCTCTCTCTCTGTCTCTCTCTCTCTCTCTCTCTCTCTCTCTCTCTCTCTCTCTCTCTCTCTCTCTCTCTCTCTCTCTCTCTCTCTCTCTCTCTCTCTCTCAAACACGGGACTCTTGAAGTGCACCACCTTTTGTCCAACGACGATGTCCTGTCAACAGACCTATTTATAGATCTAAATAAAAAGATGGCTATAATCGTTTGAGAGCTATGTGTCCACTCGAGTCCTTACGTGTGTTCTCATCGCTCCCCACGTTTTCCGCATGACTGAAGCTTCTTTCATTGTATATATACATAGGTTGAGGATCACATAACCATGCCTAGAGTTTTCTGTGCGGTAGCTCGCTGTCAGCCCACAAGGGCTAAAATTTTCAACTTGATAGGAAATGATCATTAGGTGGTTATCCTATACATGGCATTCGCTTTGTCGGAACGATGACAGGTCAACAGGTTCATATGGACAAGAGTTAGTTAGTGGATATGCTTGTACGCCGCTTTTAGCAATATTCCAGCAACATCAGGGCGGGGGTAAGCGGAAATGGGCTTCACACATTGAACCCATGTGAGGACTCAAACCCGGGTTTTCTGCGTGACGAGCGAACGCTTTACACCACCCCCATGTGGACAAGAGTATTACCGAATTGATCTTCAATACCCCATGCTTCTCATAAGGGGCGACTAACGGGATCGGGTGGTCAGGCTCGCTGACTTAGTATCCCAATTGCGTAGATCGATGCTCATGATGTTAATCACTGGGTTGTGTGGTGCAGACTCGATTATTTACAGACGACCGTCATATAACTGGAATATTGCTGAGTGCGGCGTAAAGCATTAAACTCACTCACTCTTCCTGTTGTGTACTCCAGTCATGGATGAAGCTAAAGGAGGTAATGACTATCGTAAGCCTCAAAGTCAGGTGGTTTCTCTGTAGCTCAGTAATATATTTAACTACTTTATCCACTGCTCGAAGTGTTTCAAAGATACATTATGAGACTACCTCTGTAGTCCAGCGCCTCTGTAGTCTGATAGGGGTTTCCATGCAAACTGCAAACAACTACCCCATCCATATACCCTCATGCACGTCGACATAGAGAGTGAGTGAGTGAGTTGAGCGAGTTCAGTTTTACGCCGCTTTTAGCAATATTCCAGCAATATCACAGTGAGGGACACCAGAAAAACGCTTCACGCATTGTACCCATGTGGGGAACCGAACCCGGGTCTTAGGCGTGACGAGCGACCGCTTTAACCACTAGGCTACCCCACCGCCCCACGTCGACATAGAAGTGCAATGCTTTCACCTCGCTTGACCGCACTTCTACACGTGATGAGGTACAGATCACAAACTAATAAGATAGATCTAATCATTTTTATTTAGATCGATAGATACACATGGGTTTGCTTTTGAACCTCCCAGGCATATTTGTAGATGGCAGTTTGCCTGTCTAGTGACTTCTAAGTGTCTTTCAAATGTTTACAAACTATTTTTTTTTCCAGAAAAAGAGTTAGTTGGCACTATTCCATAGACAACAGTGATCATTCATAAACTGACTGATTTCATGAAAACTAATTTTCATCAATATTGAATATTCTACTGACATCCCCGACTTCCGTTCGTGAAGTCTAGTATAGTACCAACTAAACCATTACGTGGATTTTCACTGCAATCAAATATATAAACAATCTAATGATCAATATACTTTTATTCGCATATCAACCATGGCTGTATTGACTAGAGATTCTAGGCAAATCCAACGTATGGGTGTAAGGGAATGAGAGTGATCTCCCTTAGTGATGTCCAAATCCGTCAAGGCTGCCGTAACTTCCGCCATAACTGTTTCCATTGCTGACCTGACCTGGACCTGTCTGGACGATCTTAGCGTGGCCGTACTCTGTCCTTGACCTCTTGGTTTGGGGAAGGAACTTGAAACGACGGATGACGTTGCGGTGTGGTCTGCTCAGCGACTGGAATTCGATCTGTGGACGCCCGCTGTTACAATGCTCGCACAGCCTCACCTTGTAGCCGTCGTAGGTCTGCAGGTAGCCAACGTAGTCGACAGACGTTGTAGTCTTCACGGGAATGATCTTGACGAATGGCAGAGCGATGAAGAACTTCTTGGCCACCTGGTAGGTACCTTTCTTGTAGTAGTTCTTGATCATGTGTTTGTTGTCCAGCTCCCATTTACCTTCGTGGAATGACTTTTGGTAGACTGGCTTGGGAACATTATAAGAAGACTGGAACCTATTGTAGCCTCCGCCGTAAGACTTGCTGTAGCCGCCGAGGCTGCCTCTGGATGCAAGTACGTTAGAACCATAGCCGCTGAAGATGTTGGGGACGTTGTACCCATAGTCAGCAGACCGTTTCTGTATCCCATTGTAGGAGGGACAGTCGTCGTCATCATCAACGTCGTTATCATCGACTTTGTCACCTGCATAGAAATAAATTCGATGTGATTCCCAATAGTTTTGTCTAACCAGAAAGTACTTTAATATGAATAAAGCAAACACACCAACAATTAACTGGGGTGGAACATTCGATAATCTGGTCAACCTGGTATGTAGCAAAGTAATAATCACTCTTGGAAAACTATTATATCTTCAGATTGCCCATAACAATTAATATGGACATATTGTATTGTCACTTCTATAGCTAAAATGTTTTAGATTAACATACTATTTATATGTTCACATCTGTGATATTCTTGTTTTTTACTGTCCTCGTTGACAGGGCTTTTTATAATTTATATGTATTTATCGTGAATATATAACTTGTTTTAGTCGCGAAATGGCTGAAATATTGCCGATGTGACTGTAAATCCTAACTCAATCACTCAATCACTATTGGGTTCGAGTGTCACTTTTTCCACATACCTTTTCTTTTCCACACACGACTAGCAAAATATATCGAGAAGGCGAACAAAGTCAGTGATATCGAATACATAAGGGCCTAAATACGGTAGTTACGTAAACTACGCTTAGCTTTCAAGACCAATTTAAACTCGTATCCCTATTTCCTAGATCGATGCTAATGCTTTTGATTACTGGATTGCCTAGTTCAGACTCGATAATTTTGTTGTTGTTTTTGTTCCCATCAATACAAATATCAATTATATGTAAATATTGCATATTGAGTTTAAGCGGTTAACAATGGTCATTCTGGATCAAATAATGGGAATAGAGGAAGACATTTTTTTTTAATTTATCAAAAAAATTGTTTATGTGGACATATAGCTATATTCTAGTATGCATTGCTGAATAATAACATATGTTCATTAACAATGGTCATTCGATCAAATAATGGGAATAGAGGAAAACATTTTTTTGAGAATTTATCAAAAAAATTGTTTCTTTTGGACATATTTTTTTCGACCATGAATATGTCTTTCAAAAATCTTTATAAAGTTTTTCTTAGCTAGGAATTATTTTTTTCAGGGTGCAAATATAGATGTGTCTTTCGGCAGAAAGTATTGTATGACAAAGTAGTGGGTTAGTACTTAGAGCACCAAACCAAACGTGAACTTTTGTCAATTGAAATTCCTGTATGTTTTTGATTCATCCAAATTTGAAGTTCATTCAAATGAACCTCAGACTCGATAATTTACAGTTCCCCGCCCTACAGCTGGAACATTGCTGAGTGATGCGGTAACACCAAACCAAGAAATACAATCTGTTTGGTATATTTCATCCTATGCGAGGAGACGAGAACCACGGTAAGGCGGTCCGTAATTGTTCGGTATTTTAGCGCCGCTTTGAACAGTATTCTATGTAGTGTTGGGAATTGGTTAAAATCTCATAACTGATGACTGGTTCATTACAACCGATCAATCATCGAAAAAAGTTAGTTAGCGTCATTTTTCAGATTTTCCTATTCAGGTTGTTATTGCAGATATGTATTGCATGATGCAACTTGCTACTTTAAAGTGATGACTAATATATCATGAACAGAAACTTCCTGGGGTCTTTTCACTCAGAAATATTCTAGTATTCAGTTAGTGAAGTGAGTTTTCTAACAATTAAACATGTTTTCTGGCCCTGACAACTTCTAAGATATGTTCCATTGTCAAGTGTTTCAAAGACTAAAACAGTTGTTCCAAAATTGTTTGTGTTCGATTATGAGAAAATGTGATCGATTGCTTGGTCGTTAGGTCACTGCGACCAATCTTCGATTATTTCAATTTATCGGAGCACTACTAATTCTATGTATCTTTATCTCCGCGTGTCAGCTTAGAGTAAGTGAGTCAGTTGAGGTTTACGCCGCACTCAACAATATTAGAGCTATATGACGGCGGTCTGTAAATAATCGAGTCTGGACCAGACAATCCAGGGATCAACAGCATGAGCATCGATCTGCGCAATTGGGAACCGATGACATGTGTCAACCAAGTCAGCGAGCCTGACCACCCGATCCCGTAAGTCGCCTCTTACGACAAACATGGGTTACTGAAGACCAATATTCTAACCCTGACCTACATGGGCATGTCAGCATAGATGTGGGAGGGAAGCCTGCCTCAGATTGTATAACTTATAGTCTGTTTGCAATGAAAACCGATGAATTTCACTTTATAAAAAGTAAATGAACTAAAGTGAAATTAATATTGCGAATCCTCATAATTTTACCTTGCCAATTGAACTTTTAAATCTCCGAATTTTATTCAACTTAGGATAAAAGTTGTTAAACAAACAATCATAGTTTCAAATTGCTATTATTGGTTTAGATGCTTGATTGGCATTTAGAAGTTGGAAGATAACATGACAACGAATGGTATGGATTTACAACTTCTTTAGTATTTACGACACGTGGTTCCTGGGCTACTTCTTGCCCCATCATCAGGTGAATATACGTGATAGGATTGCTTGGAAGCCACCTATGAAAATGTACTTTCAATGTACATGTTTTCCCATGTTCCCCTTAATCACTGTACATACTTTGATGTGCTTTCATATATGTGTTTTCCTATCATTGTTTTCATAAGTGGCTTCCAATCAATTCCATCATGGTTATCCAATCTTTTTGCTTGTATAAACACTCGGTACATACATTGCATAAACACACCACTTAATCTCTTAGAACTCTGTACATCCTTATCTAAACACATCACTTAATCTCCTTGATCTCTGTACATCTCAATCGGTAATACTATCTCACTGGCTTCCTGTACATACTATATATTTTGCTCGTATCATATTCTGTCATTCACCTGATGAAGGGACAAGAAGTAGCCCAGAAACGTCGTGTTGTAAATATTAAAGAATTTGTAAATCCGTACCATTCATCACGTACCGCACGTGCATTTGTTGTACTGTTTTTTAACTACTGCGCTTACCCCCTTGTAATACAAACCAATAATAGCGATTTGAATCTATGATCGTTTGTAAAACAACTTTTATCCTAAGTTGCGGCTTGAGAATCAACAGAAAAAAGTACAAAAATCTTCACTTTACTGAGAAAGTGTAATTCCAAAAGTAACGGTCATGGCAGCCATGCCAATTTACACTTGCGACACTCAACCCCAAAATACTAACATTTTCACTTTTCAGAGAAAACGTATTTCCAAATATAACATGTTTAAAAGCTAATGTGTATTAGAAAACAAACTCTAAATATGATGAATGAATATTACTTACACCATTCGGTCAAGAGATCTCCGAATCCGTCATCTGTGGATTGCCCGTCCACTCTCGAATCCAGACATTTGGAGGTGTCGGCGACAGAAACAGACAGCAGCAACGCTGTACCAAACACGAGCAGACAAATTGTCGATCTCATCTTGACACCCGTTTACCCAGACTCAGGAGAAGATATGAATGAAACGGCACAAACCTCTTAATATATACCCTTGAATTATGACGCGAAAAAGTCAAACATTTCAGCTATAGGTCAGGTTTGATTTGGGAGCAAATGCTATAATTGTCTCGCATATACCATCCCCATCTGTCGTATTTGAAGATAATTATCAGTGTTTGCTGATGCGGCCGATTGTTAGTTTTGTATACGATAAATGTATACATATAGTTCCCAGGCTATACGTCACATACGACGTGCCTCAATGTACGTAGAATGACTCAAAGAGGAACGATATTTGGGTTTTTTAGTTTCGTAGCTGAAGACAATGTTGTCGAACAAAAGGTAAAACGTCACCAAATATCTCCAAGTTGGGCGAGTGGTTTTGAAGCTTTTGTCATGCTTCTCAAGATCTCATTTTGAATTTTCTTCATTTTTCGTAGCCTTTGCATTCCCACTTTTCAGGAACACCTAGTGTCATCACGGAGTTGCATTGTTCCATATGGGTAGTTGTCACAACTAGTTTGCCTTTTTCGGCTGATCATCCTGGTGTGTTGACGCTATATTTCACAACTTTTGAAGTGCAATCAAAAGTATTCTTTTATCATGATTTCATAGAGCGTAATGCCACTCTTGCTCATCCAAGGCCTCATTACAGCTTTTAAGTAGTTTTATGGTAGACAAGTGGATGAAATTTAAACATGTATATATATTATTGTAATCTCAGTATTGCATGGAATGTAATGATTTGATTTTTATGGGTTACAATTTCCTTCTTTAATACATGAAAGAAGTGATTTTCTATGTTGGATCCAAAAGGGCGTGCTGAAATTTTTGATCGTAGGATCTAATAGGAAACGCCCGGATTATGTTTCTAGGATTTTCAGCACCAAACTCTTGCTTGTGGAACTTTCCCCTACATTGTGCATCAAGTCAGACTTGGCACCCGTATCATGCAGATATGACAGATATCATTCTGAGCAGGGCTAAACCAACCACACACTTACCCTCAGCTCAAGCTTTTTAAAAAGAAATTTTAATTGCGAGAATTTCACGTAAGTTCTTATTTAAGACAATACACGTCAAAATTAGGCTTATTAAAGATCTTGGTTCACGCATCAGTGATGGACAAAATGACGATCGATACTTCAAAATACTTTTCAAAAGAAATGTGTACATTTTTTCAATTTCTTTTCCTGATTAGGCTGTGTGTGCCTTCTTCCGATTAGTTGTGTATTATGATGTGAGTCCATTGCAAACATTTTTATGTCAGGTTAGTTTGATATCCCAATAGGGCGAGATTGAACCACTAAAGTGAAATCCACGAGCATGGGTATGACACTGAGAAACCAAGAATCGTAATCAGGCCACATGGGGGAATCAAACGTCCAAGGTGGTTACTATTCTAGGGGAATGCACCACTGCGGTATGCAATCAGGGCTACTTGGAGAAATCAAACGTCCAAGGTGGTTATTATTCTAGTGAAATGCACCACTGCGGTATGGTGAGAAATCAAGCGTGATAATCAGGGCCACTTGGGGAAACCAAACGTCCAAGGTGGTAACCAGTATGGTGAAACTCTCGAGCGCGGATATGGTGAGAAACCAAGCCTGACAATCAGGGCTACTTTGGGGAAATCAAACGCCCAAGGTGGTTACAATCATGGTGAAACTCTCGAGCGCGTATATGAAACTGATAAACCAAGCCTGACAATCAGTGCTATATGGGGAACCCAACGTCCAAGGTGGTAACCAGTATGGTGAAACTCTCGAGCGCGGATATGGTGAGAAACCAAGCCTGACAATCAGGGCTATTTGGGAATTCAAACGTTCACGGAGGTTACCATTATGGTGAAACTCTCGAGCGCAGATATGTGAGAAACCAAGTCTGACAATCAGGGCTACTTTGATGAAATCAAACGCCCAAGGTGGTTACAATCATGGTGAAACTCTCGAGCGCGGATATGAAACTGAGAAACCAAGAATCGCAATCAGGATTTATTTGGGGAAATCAAACGTCCAAGGTGGTTACCACGAGGTGGTAACCCACGAGCACGTTTGGTTCCCCAAATGCCATGATTGTCACGCTTGGTTTCTCAGTTTCATATCCGCGCTAGAGCGTTTCACCATAATGGAAACCACCTTTGACGTTTGATTTCCCCAAATAAATCCTGATTGTGATTCTTGGTTTCTCAGTTTCTTGGTTTCTTTAATCTAAGCTATTGTGGTTATCATTTTGCGAATACACTTTGAAATTCGACGCTTCTCATGTTCATAAAATATACAGACAATTTAATTGGACCAATGTTTCTTTACCGTAACTGCAGCCAAGCGACCCATGAGGATCATACCCGTTGGTGAGTGTGAGTGAGTGAGTGAGCTGTTTGGATATGTTACGTCGACAGTATTCAGCCATGTCCCTCCATAAAATTATACAGTCATACGCTATTGTAAAAACTGTCAAGGAAGGACAGAATAACGACCAGCCTCATATTTCAGCTTGGTTTGAAACAAGTTGTAGACATTAAAATTATCTGACGATTACATTCTGGCAACAATACTCCTCACTATTGGGGTCCTGGTTAGACCGTGACTCAAGAGAGGAGAGAGTTAGTTGTGTTTTACGCCGTTTTTAGCAATATTCCAGCAATATCACGGCGAGGGACACCAGAAGTGGGCTTCACACACTGTACCCATGTGGGGAATCGAACCCGGGCCTTCGGCGTGACGAGCGATCGCTTTAACCACTAGGCTACCCCACCGCCCCACTCAGTCGATCGGCGGAAATATTGAAATATTGAAATCAAGAAACAAAGATACCCCCTCCCCCCCCCAATCCACTTAACCATCACCGTCATCATCATCATCATCATCATCAGATGATGATGATGATGATGATGATGATGCGTCTGGTATTTGAATTACGCACTTGCGTTCTCAATATGTGTACTTCAAATAATATTCAATGTACAATGTAACAATTAGTTTATGAGTGGAGTGTTTTATATACGTTTTTATAATTATAAATAGTGTTTTAAATACACTTTTATAATTATGAATAGTGTGTTAAATGCATTTTTATAATTATAAATAGTGTTTTAAATACATTTTCATAATTATAAAGAATGTTTTAAATACATTTTTATAATTATAAAGAGTGTTTCTATAAAAATGTTGCAGGAGTACGTGCGCACTTTAACCTCACTTTCTCTGGCCGTGTAGTTGCTCATTATTTCTCGGGCACACTCCGCCTGTTGTTTGGATTGGATCAGGTGTGTTTGTTCAACATCCCCATAGCCCTTCCATGCCGTTATATTTGACATTTTAACACTAAAAACACCCCAATTGTTGTCTTTAATTGCCCGTTGACTTATTCTGTGTTGACATTAATTCAAATTACAACTCCCATCGGTTGATGAATACTCAATGCAAACGTTTAAGAGCCACATTACACGGACTGTTATTTCAGTGTCAAAACGTTTTGTTTTTAAACATCTAGGTTTTGTAGCAACGTAGTTAATGAGGCCGGACACACAAGACGGTGTTCTGATTGCCGTTAATGGGAATGCTCTGGAAGATTCGCGACACTGCGGTTTTTCATTTTTTTTGAAATTTGAGGATTAACTTCAATAATATGCAAAGGGTGAGGCTACAGTGAATACAAGTAGGTTAGTCAGCCTCTCTCACAGACACTTGCGAATAATCTATAAAGAAGTCCATGGCCAAGTCTGGATTGCCCCATCCCCTGATAATTAGAAAATGTTCTTGACTTTTTGACTGACTGAGTATGGTTTTACGCCGCTTTTAGCAATATTCCAGCAATATCACGGTGAGGGACACCAGAAATGGGCTTCACACATTGTACCCATGTGGAGAATTGAACCCGGGTCTTCAGCGTGACGAGCGTTCGCTTTAACCACGAGGCTACCTCACCGCCCCTATATTTTTGGAATTTTGGGGGGGGAGATATAGTTTAAAGTAAGAGGAAGTGAGAACACACGGATGAGCGACTGTGTTGGGTATTATTTCTGCTTATAAACGACTCCATGTGTGAGGATGTCCTTGGGGTACTCTAATGAATATAGTACTCACCCGTTAGACCGGGTTTGACTCCTCTCAATACAAAAGGCGTCCCCTCCGTGATATTTTAGGAATATTGCTAACATCATACTCAGACGCTCACTCCAAATTTGAGGTGTTATTTTTCTTCTGCAAGTTTGTTCAACATGAGTAGTTTGAGGAAAAGTGTACAGAAATTAATATATTACGTTTCTACTTTGAACATATCCGTGTATTGCTTGGTATAATATGCCATCTATACTTTGGACATGAACATGGTGTGATATAGCGTCTTATATGACGTGTATACTTTGGACATGTCTGTGGATTGTTTAGTGTGATATAGCATCTACACCTCGGACATGAGCATGGATTGTTTGGCATGAACAAGCATCAATACTTCTGACATGAGCATTGGTTGTTTAGTATGAACTAGCATCTATGCCTCGGACATGAGCATGGATTGTTTGGCATGATCTAGCATCTATATCATTAGCATGAGCATGTATTGTTTGGCATGAACCTGCATCTATTCCATGGACATGAGCATGGGTTGTTTGGCATGATCTAGCATCTATATCATTAGTATGAGCATGGATTGTTTGGCATGAACTATGGATTGTTTGGCATGAACTAGCATCTATATCTCGGACATAAGTGAGGATTGTGTGCCATGAACTAGCATCTATTCCTCGGACATAAGTGTGGATTGTTTGGCATGAACAAGCGTCTGTATAATTAGCATGAGCATGGATTGTTTGCCATTAACTAGCATCAATACTTCTGACATGAGCATGGTTTGTTCGGCATGAACTAGCATCTATACCTCGGACATGAGCATGGATTGTTTGGCATGATCTTCGATCTATTCCATGGACATGAGCATGGGTTATTTGGCATGATCTAGCATCTATACTTCGGACATAAGTGTGGATTGTTGGCCATGAACTA